CTGGCTTTTTTTTTCCTCTTTGTTTTACTGGGTTCTGCCCCATCTCTCTAAAAAATCTTATAAATCATTGATGAGAATATTTCTATTTTTGTCTTAAATATCCTGGCCAAGTAAGCCTTATGAATACTTTCCAAATCAAGTGCTGGCATTGCATGATGCCTCTCATTGATGGCAGCCCATTTCATTGTTTTTTTTCCCCCCATATCTTGGCTCTGTTGTTTATGGCAGCAATGCCAAGTCTCAGCTTGAGGGTGGTGGAGGCAGGGCTGACCTTGGTACAGAATGCCATGTGGCGTCTCTTTCTTGGGCAGCAGCTCCCTTCCTTCTTCCTCCTGACTGTCACACAACACTCTGACTTAAACTTTTAAAGCTTGAAATGCTGCAATGGGTTACTGGTGTCTATTCTCAGGGAGGTTTCCTCTGCCACCCACCCTGCCTCTGCACTCCTTTCTCTTCATCCATTCTGTGCCTAGAAATTCAACTCACTTGGAAACCAACTTCAACTTGAACATATGATGTTCAGCATATCCTTTTCAAGTGTGAAAGAGACCCTCTCATATGCTACATTGCAATCTCCATTCAGACCGTGTTTCTCTTGTTTCCCACTATAGGGCCTGGCATACGCTAAGTGCTCAGTAAGTGAACTGAGAATGAATAGAAGGCCTGCAGGATTAGAGATGTCCCATGCATTGTATTTCTTTTTGCCTTAAGAATTGTCTGCATCTGATCCTTGTAGATGGTTCACGCAGAATTTTCCTGAGGTTTGAAAATTATGACCTATTGAGAAAGTAAGATGGTCACAATACATCTTTCCTGATGATCCCTAACTTGTTTGGATTTATCTTTTACTCTGGTTTTTCCTCACTATTCAGATTAGTAATTTATATTACCTATCGCTGGCTCAGGAAGTGTGCAGTCTGCTTCTCTCATCTGAGCAAGTCTTGTATTCCAGACCAGAGTTGAAACACCTAGAAGATGAAACTGTACCCATTTATTCTGTAGCCAAAGTGTAAGACTCCATGCAGCAAGCATTTAATAAATGGTTTCCAACTGGTTGATTGAATGAATAGGTCTTGAGCCTGACACCCACTTTTATTTTTAACATTAAAGGTTAGAATCTAAACTCCAGAAGGAATGAGCAGTGTAGTTTCAATCCTCTTTATCATGACTTGCATAGCCTTTGTCTGACAGCACAAAGTGTTATGGATTTACACAGCTTATTTAATTGTATAGGTACACAGTAGGAAAATGTTAGATAAATCAAAATTATCCAGGAGACTGGGCAATTGCTATTATGCTTTGCAACAATTAGATGCTTCAGAGAATTCATTCCTTGATATTTTGATGATTGCTTTGATGACATACTTTCTCTATCATTGTTTACATGACAAAGGGAAACGATAAACCAGGAGCTCTGGAACCGTCCATCAGTCCAGCACCAAATGGATCGAAGCTCACCATGATCAATGATGGGCTAGCTGGCTTTAATGTTGCACTCCTTGTCCCCAAGGAGCAGATGTATGACAGTGGTTCAAGGACAAATGTAAATATTTGGACTCACAGAGAATGAAAATGTTCGTAAAATCACCTCATGAAGAAGGAATTATTTGGAATTAGTATGAAAGAACAAGTTTGATCTTACAAATCAGAACTGTGCCAAATACCTAGCAGATGCTCCAAAAATGTGGTTGGCAACTTGGGCAAACACAGAGGGAAAGAGGGGGACACAAGAGAGTGAGAAGGCAATGTTCAGCTGGGACGCCATGAGTTGTGTTCTAGGTCTTAAGCAGAAGCCTGGAGCATCGGAGCCTGTAGCTGGGGGCAAATCTGATTGGTTGATTGGATGCTGAGTGTGAAAATCCTTAACGTGAAAGTCCTGAAGAGGTTAGACTTTAATCAGAGGCCAAAGGGTATTCTTGAACACAGATGGGAACTCAACCCAATCTGAACTATGCTTCAGTCAGTAGGGCTGACATTATTGAGGGCTGTGTTGGGATTGAGCGGGCTGGAACCTGAGGAAATATTTGGGAAGCAAGTGAGATGGCCTGGATAGTAAGAGAGCTGTGGGTGGTAGAAGAGCTTTATGAAGACAGACTCTGCAATTCTGGACACATCTTGCATGGTGGTTTGCCCTGGAAGCCTGTTTGTTGTCATCCTCTACCATTACTCTCTGCCCTTCCATGCCTGCAATTTTAGTCTGATTTGTAATCCAACAGCATAGGAGGTATGGTCTTTGGAATAAACACCTGCATTCATATAGGACTGTATGACCATCTGTCAGCTATGACCATTAGCAAGTTACTTACCTGCTCTGAGCCTCAGCGTCCTAGCCTGTGGAGGGGATATGAACATAATCTTTCTCCTGATTTAGATCATACTGGCCAAATGTTCAGTGTTGTGCCAGGGATACAAGAAACACCTAAATGGACAGTCAATAGCACGAAGACATTTTAGCTCACTGGAGTCATTACTTCCTCGGGCACCAGTGGTCAGTGTGGGAGGGTCTTTTCATGTGGGAATCCTACCTGTTGTAAGCCCCACCTGCTTAGAGTGTATGCAGCCATCTACCTCACTGATATGATTGGGAAGCACATGTGTTCTCCTAGGCCTGTCTTCCGGTCTGATTTCTGACCTCCCACATCAAATGCTGCTCATTTTGTAAGCTGGCACAGAGGGGGATAACAAGAGATGATAAAAGTGCTCTCATTTCTAGTGGTACAGTTTGTTAGAAGCACTACAATACAGGCTTGGAAAACAAAATAATACGTGACGTCTGTCCTGGGAGAGTTCTGCTGAGGAAGAAGTGAGTCCTTACATAAAAGCTCATAGGACAATGAGGCCAAAGTGATCAGGAAGGCCAGATGAAAGGCTGAGGAGCAGCCTAGGCTGAGTCAGTACCAGTCAGGATCACCAGCCTCTCCTGGGCCTCAGGGAGGTGGTGGGTGTGGGACTGCACTGTCTGGGCTCCATGGGGGCAGCTTTTTCACAGCTATCTTGAAACCCTTAGTTAAGGACAGGAGATGGAGCTGCAAAGGATGCTCTGAGGTGATGAAGCAGAAAGGCTTTGACACTGAAAACTTTTCTCAAAAGTAAAACCAAAATAAAAGAAAATGAAGACATTGAATATAACTGACTGTTGGGAGTCACACTATGGAGGATTCTCCTAGCTGAAAAGGATGCTGGAAATACCTGAGGAACATGGGTGAAGAGGTTGGTGACATCCCAGTCAATTACTGTAAAAAACAGTTATGAATAAGGCCGAAGGATGGTGGAAGGACCTGTCATGGTTTATGTCAGTGGCCCCCACGCCTCATAAATTATAGATTCGACCAAATCTAGCATTTGTGATTGGTTCGACATCTAGCACTCGAATAGGTAGTGTGAGTGCTACACCCACTTAGGAGTGGAGCCGGCATATGAAGTAATGGTGTGTAGAAGGTGTCTCTCTTTCTTTCTGGGTAAGAGCCTTGCTATTTGCGGTGACCAGGAACGAATGTCCTGCCACGCTACCCTGATGCTTGGAGCCAACTGAATATGAACTGAATCCCCCAAGAACTGTAAGAAATAAACCTTTCCTTCTCTAACTTTGGGCATCAGGTATTTTCTGTCAACAATGAGTAAAAAGTAACTAAGACAGGATCCTTAGGGGTTTCAAAGTTTAAAAACCAGACAAGGTTCAAACTGAAAAGTAGGTGTGGGTTTTTGAGCATCATATTTTGGTAGGGTATAGTTCTCCAGCAGGGAAGCAAAAGGCTGGAGGGACAGAAAGGCCACTGCTCAAGGGCTCACTTTTGAAGCCAAGTCCCTTTTGTATCAGATCAAAAGTATCTTAGGAAAATGGAAGTTGAAGCTCAGTACTGCTCTTTCCTGCTTAACTAGGATTCCTGAGATCAGAGTGTATACTTTGGAAATTTGACCGCTTTTCTGCTTTGATTAATTGATTGATTGGCTGATTGCTTTGGCCTGCAGACAAGATACAATTTGAGTTAGTTGGCAACATTTAACAAATAAGAGACTTTGGAAGGTCTGGACCCAATAGGCCCTAATTCTTGGGCTGGGCAGAGAGGGACCACATACTTTTCAGTTATCTCAGCTGTCTTCTCACTTTAGGTTGCCTACCTGGTCTTTTGAGTTTATAGCCCCAAGGTAATCAGCTACACCATAGGTCTCTGGGATACTCTTGGGTACCTCCAGGCTTGAGATGTGTTGTGTACCTCAAATGTCAGCCTTTCCCAATCACCACCAGTTTTCTGAAACCAAAGCGGTCATGTCCTACCTGTTTCAAGCTTCCACAGTTTCTCTGTTGTTTTTCCAAGTATGCATGTAATCCTGCAACCAACAGATTTGGACAGCAGGGAGAACAGGGCTGTATGTGACTAGGATGAGGGCAATCTTAAAAGGCGAGAGTGTCACATCTCAAAAGCAGTTCAGATGTTGGTGTTGGGAGTCATCCAGTACAGTCCAAGCCTGAGAGTTTACAGGAAGATATAGTGAGCTTATAAAAATGGTCCTTATTTGAAATCTTCTCTAGCAACTTTATCCCTTTGGGCAAAAAAATCACCCATCTCTCTATCCTGAAACCACCAGGAACTTGGAAGAAATGGAAATACATGTAATCCCATTTAAACATATTTTTTCAATAATGTTGTTATTTAAAAATTTATGAATATAAACACTTATTAATTATAAATTGTTGATAGTATATGCATAAAGATATTAAAACATATAACAAAGTCAAATGTTTTCAGTTAAAAAAAGAAGAGATCTTTATTTAAAGACTCATATCTTTTCTAGAACACACATCTGTTGGGAATTAGACCAGGGTACCTGCTAAGGCCCCCAAGCCCTGAAGCTCCATGGAAATACCTCTTCTTAGTTTCCATCTAGTCAAATCGTTAAACAATTCTGCAAAACTCCGTCTGTTCATCAGTTATGCTGTCTCTAGCTGTGCTCTAACTAACATCGTACTAAGAATTGCATTTTTCTCTCTCCTGACTTAGATTTAAATCTTGCAATCACTGCTGGGAAGTGAGCTGTATCATCTTGAGAAATCAGACCACAGAGACGGGCCTGCAGCTGGCAGGCTGGGTCATCTTTAATCGTTTAACCCTTCATATCAAAGGATGGCTTGTAGCATCGGATTCCTTCTCCAGAATTTGCCACGGCAGATTTTCTCAAGGAAAAGCTGTGAGTTAAAATGAAACAGAGTGTGTACTGTGGAAAACCTTGCCTTGTAAATTGACTTGGTGCCTATACACATGGCTGATTTTATGTGTGTCTCCATATAACTTTCTCCTTGTGGGTATATGTGTCCATGTTTGGGTGAATAGGTGACTGTGGTGTGTATGTACACTTGCTCTTGCATGAGAGTGTGTGATTCATCTTTATGTGAGTGTGTGAATGTGAGTGTGTGAATGCCAGTGGGTATATTGTGTGTCCATGAATAATTTTTTCTTGCATTGTAAAATGAGAGTGAGGCTACTCAAGGCAGGCATAGTAGGTTCTTTTTAAAAGTGGATACAATTATTCCTTCCCTTGTCTTTGGATTAGTGTCCTCCTACCTATATTTCAATGGCACATTTTGAAATGATAATCAAACAAGGACCTGATAATAATTTTACATTGAAGTGGTCTTTTTTTACTGTTCTCAGAAACCCTCAACCTCCCCAGTGTCTACGAACCTGGGTTAGCCTGCTGGAAACATATGGCTGAGTCACCTGTCATCACAAACTGACAGCCACCAATTGCAGACTTATGAATAAGGGCATCTTAGACGTAGCAGTTCTCATCTTATTTGCAAGCTATGTAGCCCTAAGTGTGAATCTTGGGGAACTCAGGAGAAGAACTACCTGCTGAACACAGCCCAGATCACTCACCACAATAATGCATGACTGTTGTTTCAAATGCCCAGATTTTGAAGTGATCTGTCACACAGACAGAGCCAACTAAATGATCTTGTTGGTGATAGAAGGAAAATCTCTTCTCTGAGGAAATGATGTTTGGTAAGAATTAATGGATATTAGTTGTAGGAATGTATATAATTCTCCTTTTAAATATTCGTTATAATCTGTGTCTCACTTTATGAGTTAAAAAACATAGCAATGAACTTGCATTTGAGGACCAATAATTAATTCTCGCACAAGAATGCACATTAACAAGTCAAGTGTGGCACAAAATGACAGTGCTGGGAGGTTCCAGCAATACTTTATTGAGGACATGGGAAGAAATCTGTCAATCCATTTCATGTTGCCAACAACAATGCCAAGGAGAGAGAACTTGTGAAGAAAAGAAGTTAGTTTTTGCTCATGTTCTGACTCAAGCTTGAGGAGCAGCATCTTGTTATGGTTTTGCTGGCAGAGTTCCAAAATAGCATAGGCAAGAGATAAGGTTCGTGTGTGTGTGTGTGTGTGTGTGTGTGTGTGTGTGTGTGCGCGTGCACGCGCGCGCGCGCGCGCGTGCATGTGTGTCCTATTTCCGTCTCTCTTTCTTCTCCCCTCTTCATTCATGGGAATTTAACCATGGAGACTTCACCCTGATGGTCTTATTTTAATCCTAATCATCTCCTAAAGATCCCACCTCTAAACACAGTATGTGATTTATGATTTTATTCTCTTAATACCTTTCAATGGCTATTAAACTCCAATATGTATTTCAGTGGAGACAAATTATATTCAAACCAGCATCAAAACAAAGAGAAGCAAGCTCAAGGGGGAAGCTTTCTACAAATCTGCTGAAGAATCTATGGGGTGGTCTCTGAAAATGATAGGACTCACCTCATCCCGGCTCCTAGTCTAACTCTGTGGGGTGGGAATCTCCTCAGCGCTGATTGCCCAAGAGCTCACCCCAGGCATTTTGACTCCTTGAAGAACAGTTCCTATAAAACCATGCTCTGCAGGGGGGTGGGGAAGATTCTCTTCTGTGCCTGAGGCCTGCCTTATGGGAACCTGCCACCTCTTTGGATAATTGACTCTAGGGATGATTGTCCCTCTCGAGGGAAAACACAGGTACTTCCAGGGATAAGACCTTTGCCTTGCAGACCACAACAGGATTAATGAATAGCCTGTGCGAGATTGCTCTTCTTATTATATAGAAACAGAGATTGAATGAGACCCCCCACAGTGTGTGTGTGTGTGTGTGTGTGTCCGGGTGTAGAGGCAAGAACACTGACTGGCTCATGAGGCCACATGATTTTGCAGTTCCAGCTCTAGTACTACTTTATAAGAAATGCCTACTTGATGTGATTGAGGAGATTTAAGAAAATTAATCTACCATTGATATCAGTATCTTGAGTCTGAAAGATACTTTATTTCTGAGTTTTCTCTTATAAAACAGTAATATTCACTAAGACCCTTTTTATTGGTTAGCACCTAAGTAAGAACTAGTAGAGTTAAGGCAGAGGAGAGATGTTTATGGACTGTTAGAGGACACTGATGGAAATGTGAGTACCAAGTATTTATTATATTTCATACATTAGAGTTTGTCCAGGACTAGACTTGCCCAGCCTTCTTACAAATAAATACATATCACACATTGCTCAAAATCATGTACTATATTAAGCAGGTCAGTCTCAATATGGCTTGCCTTTTTTGGGGTAGATTTATGTGTGAGAGAGGAATAGATAAGGCAAGATGGGATTAGTGGCAATATCATCATTATTAATATAATTACCACAAAAGAAACTCATTTTCTTTCTTTCTTTTTTTTTTTTTTTTGTCTTTTTCCTTTTTGTCGGTACTGGGGATCCAACTCACGACTGCCTGCTTGCAAGGCAGGCGTGTATGCCGCTGAGCTAAGCCTCCAGCCCTGAAAATCATTTTCTTACTAAGTACTAGTTATTGTGCTAACCCTTACCTATAGGTAAATATTATTACAACCGGTTTGCTTCCAGATATGGAAATTGAAGTCTTTAACTGTAAAGGTGAAGGTTTTTATTTATAGGTGCTGGTGTCAGAGCTAAAATTTGAACACAGCAGGCCTGTTTGATACTAAATCACAGTACTATTGTTCAGGTCTAAAGTGTCTCTGCAAAGTCTCATATGTTCTGAGATGGGGATTCTGAAAGGGGATTGGGCCGGAGAGGCACTGTACTCATCAGTGAACTTATCCATTGATGAATTTGCAACCGAATGTGCTGTTAGGAGGTTGAGCCTGATTAGAGGTAGTAAATCACTGGAGATGTGATCTGGCGGGAGGGTGGATACTTATCCCTGGTTCCTCTTTATCTTTCTGTTTCCTGTATGCTCTGAGAAGAGTTGCTTTCTTCCACCATACTCTTCTACCATTCTGTTTCTGCCATGGTGCCAGTTTACTACAGACTGAACACACTGAAATCGTGAGCCAAAATAAATCTTTAAGTTGTAGGTACTGGACATTTGTCTCAGCAACAGGAAAGTGACTGGTACACATTGATTTTATTTTTATTTAGTTTTCTCAGGAGACATTTCAACCACACAGAAAATTTTAGAGACTAGCACAACATATATCCAGGTACTTGCCAACCAATTTCATTCAATCTTAATATTTTGCAGCACTTATACTATATTTAGGTTCTTAAAAAGTTGAAATATTTATCTTTTTAAATTTTATGTGTACACATTCTTTGTGGAGTCTGAATATTAATTCTGTGGCTTATAATTTTATTTGTGATTACATTTCATAAGTAGAACTTTTTACTTACATTTAATCAAACATTTGTGATTGAGATTTTGGTTTCTAGGAGCTTTTTTGTAGTTACTGATTTGTATGTTCTGTTCTTTTTGTTTTCACATTGTTCGCATTATTTCACATTATTTATTTAGTAATTTAATCATTTCTTCATTGGTCAAATAATATTTAATGCATGCAAGTAGTTTTTAAAACAAATTGAAATACAAATTGTGTATATTTGTGGTGTACTACTGATGATTTAAAATGTTATACACTGTGTAATGGCTAGATAGAGCTGGTCAACCTGTCCTGTGGTATGGTATTCTCTGCTATTACTGTGCCAATATCATGCTATTGCTTTATTATTAATACTCCTCTTCATGTTATGCTTTAATTTTATCTTTAGATAGTCTTGACTTTGTAATTTCTCAATGCATTTTAGGATCATCTTTTCTAGCTCCAAAAATCCGGGTAAAAATTTGAAATGTAATTATATTGAATCTATAAATATTAATTTGGTATTTAAAATATATCATTTGCAATCAACTTTTCTCAACCATGAAAATGGTGTATATTTTCATTTATTTAAATTTTATGAATCTTAGTCACATTTAAACATATTTTTATACAAATCTTACCTAGATTTTTAAATTTTTTCCTTTAAACTCGTTATTATAAATGAGATCCTTTTCTTCCCATATTATTTCTGCAAATTGATGTCTAGAAACACTATGTGTTTTTAAAAGATTATCTTCTGTTCATAAGGCTTATACATTAATGCTCTATTAGTTTATCATTTGTTGTTCTTATTGATAGGTACATTTTCCACATGTATAAATATATTACTACAAATAAGACCAATTTTCTACCTTTGCAATTTTTATATCATGATATATCTTATTTTTATTGGAGCATCCTTATATTCCCTTGATAAAAGTATTCAGTTGCATTTCAAAAATGTGGTCCTAGTACTTATTTGTGTGTGTGTGTATTTATATACACATATATTTCTATTTTAAAAATAAAAAAGAATAAAAACTGATACACAAAAACAAAATGAGATTAACAATGGTTAATATATTGTATATTGTTATCTTCAAGCTTAGATTACAAGATATAGGCATGAAAAAGTGATCAAATAATGAAAGCACAATCCATTCTTTTAGATGAAATGATAGAGATTAGTAGTATAATTATCCATCTTGTATATTTATTATATATGTCTATTATGTATTATATTTTCCCTTTTTTCTTTTCTCTTTTCTCCCATTACAGATGTTCTTTCCTTTTGAACAGCTTCTTCCCCTTTCATTCATAATATTTATTGCATATTTTGGATCTTACTTGTTTTAAACCAGGGAGACAATATGATATTTTGAGTCAGACTCACAAACATGTGAGTCTGACTTATTTCACTTATGAGTATGCTCTCTAGTTGTATCCATTTACCTATAAGTCCTCAACTTTATCCTTATTTATAGCTGAGTAATATCCCATTGTATAAAAATACATTTTTTAACGTATTCTGTGGTCGCTTGGCA